CATTATGACTTAATATGAGAATAGGGATTTTCCTGCCTGTCAGCAGCAAACCCGAGTACACTTGATCTTGAGATGTAGGAAAATCCAAAATAAATCAAGGGGAATTATTAATGAACCATTACACATAAGCCTTTTTACAAGCGCAATACCTCATCTTTGATGTGGGGTCTTGGAGATGTTGTTGCTAGAAGTTATTAATTGGCATTTACCCTGTGGAACAATAAACTGAGGTTCATCATGTCAAAATCGGTACCTCTTGAGCACTGAGAAGATTACTGGATAAACTTATGATTAAACGTACAAGGTTTACTTTCATCACCGGTTTCTTTTCCTGATGAACAACATTAAAACATGAAAGGTTTTTATTTTTCAGTTTGACAGCTCTTCATCCTCTTATGGATTATAAAATTTTATGAAAATATATGTATTTATGTTCAGCGTTATGCTGACTTGGTCGGGGTTTCAAGGACTGTTAAAGTGAAGGGCAGCTGGACTTGGTTGAAGTTACTTGAGATACCTCTCGTCCGAGGGGCTACTTCAGTTCTGACTGACTGTTCGGGAGTCCCTGCCATTTAAGCTCTGTGGGGTCATTATCAACGTGATGGATAGTGCTGCTGGCTGCTGTAACGACCATCGTGGTTATTGGAGTCATGTAAGGCCATGTCTGAATGACTGTTGTTGGCATCTTCAACCAAGTCCAGTTGCCTTTTGTTTTTAACCTTTCTTGGAAAACAGTGAACCTGGATAATGAGAATCTTCAGACACACAACATGGCTATTGCTTCACCTTGAATGTCACAAAAAGTATAAAAATAAAGGCTCTTCAGTCAAGTTTTGTTTGTCATTTGTACGTAGAACTCATGCTTCAAAGCTTGCTGGATATCTTCTGCTTTGGTGCTGTAGATATTGCAGCAGTGTGAGTCAGAAACCCTGTTTGATCATGACACTGGCACACACAGCTCAGGCTCTCTCTGGCTCTGAGCACGTCAAGAGAAATGCCTTGAAAGGATAATGAAGCAAGAGGTGAATACAGCTGAATGACAAAGAAGAAAAATGTTTCTTTGTTGTCTGCTAATGCTACTGAGGTTAACCACTAAAGGAAATATCACAGCTTTCCTTGTTCTTTAAATCATAATCCTTAAGATTTCAAACTTTAGAGAGACCTTTATGGTGTCAGTGTGATTTAATACTGACACCACACAGGTGAATCTGGGGGCAGCAAACACTCCTTGAGTAGCTACATTGTCAGACATGCAACAGAATTGCAACTGGTCTATCTGTTTACAGCCAAGCAAAGTCTATAATAATATAATAAAGAAGTCAGTCAATAATTGGCCTTTGTCCATCATGCCATGAGCAACCATGACCAGATTTCATGCAAGTAGATTTCCAGGACACTACTATTACTTTGCTGAGGAGTTGAAAGTATACAACCTGTCCACTGCAGATGTTCAACTAACAGCTCACTGTAGCTGGCCGTTCTTGTTCCATTACTCCCTTTACTGAAAGCTGATGTTATCAAAAAATGCAGAAAATAATCATGTCTTGTTCTGTAGACCCATTTTTGTCGACTAGGAAATTCTTTAGTCGGGGGCAGCCCTAATTAAAACCGTGTCACACAGTGCCCTTGAATATGCTTGCTCTTTCTCTACGCAAGTGTTTGCTCATTCAGAAAGGTGTCAAAAGTTCAAGCATCAAAAGCAGAATAAGCAAGTCATTACAAGACGTTTATTCCATCTTTATGTAAATATTTTCCTGAGGCATGAATTGATTTCACATAAAAACGTGTTTTTCAATAAATTGGTCTATTATCATACTGTTTTTGCTCTCAAGTTATCTTTGCGTGATTGTAGACTTCACACTGTTATTTGGTGTGCTGTGATTGGTGGATATCCCATCAGTGTAAGTCTTTCCCTGCTGGTAATTAGTGTTGTGTGAGCTGTGGTCATGTCTCCCAAGGAAGCTCTCTGCCCTTGGTCTTTTGTAGGCAGCAGGGGAAGCCAGACATTAAGCCCTAATTGATAGCAAAGGGAGAGTGGGGCTTAGCACTTTTTCTGCTGACTGGAGCAGCCAATACACATCAACTCGGTGTCCTACACTCCATGAAACAAAGGACCTCACCCTTATCAGGTTGTTATAAGACAATGAAATGTGTAATGATCATATCGGTGAGATTTGCAGTCACAAAATAAAATGGATCCAAAGCCTGGTTATTTATCTGTGCTCTGTGCAAGAAGACGGATCCAGTAGGGAGCGATTTGATATCATCTGAGCTGGAGAGCTTTGTATTTGTTTCGCTCTGCTGATTATAAAAGAGCACATGGAAACATTGTGAGGGTGATGAAACGATCTGCTTCGTTACAAGAAAACGCTGTAATTAAAGAAACAGTTGTGGTAACTCTAAGGGGGATATAGTGATGTGTGCACAGTGTGCTCGTCTGTCTCTGTGGCTGATGTTGGACCTTGGCTTGCATGGCTTTCCATGTGGCACTGGCGCAGCATCTGTTGATGAGCCTTCAGAGAAACATGTTCTTTGGAGTGTTTTAATGAAACTTGTCATTTCTGTGAAGCAGCTGAGCAATGTTTGAAGGCGTTCTCCTGAGTCCGTACTACAGCTTCACAAAATGAATTGGGGGGCAAAATAACTAACACTAACTGTACGTTCTCCCTCTAAATGTACGTAGTTACCAAAGTTGGTACAAAATTTGTTTGGCAACACTCCAACCTTCATCTTAGACTGGCACTACTTAGACTTTAAAAACACTGAACAAGCCCATGGCCCACTCGTTACCCATCTTTTTTACATCATATCTCAATGTGTCTACAACACTTCTGAACACAGTATATTGTGTGTCACTAAATAGAAAATCAGTCAAAACTTTTTTGTATAGCACATTTCATTCATAAAATATTCTTATCAAAAGCCAGACTAAAAAAGGTGATATTTTCAATTTATGTTTAAAGATGTCAACTCTAGGAACTTTTCCACCAGCTTTGAGCATAAAAACTAACTACTAATACTAAAACTAAGGACTTGCGCCAGAGGACTTGAGGGACCTTCCACGTTCAAACTTTGCAAGCATTTCAGACAACTAGTCATGAGCATGATGCTTTAAAAGTAAGTAAAAATCATACACTGACAAAGAGTGTGGTTTGGAGTGTTGATCGGTGATCCTACCATCTAGCTGATTGCATTCACCTACATCTCAGGTAGATAATGAAAACCATCAGGGTACTGAGCCAAACTTAGAGCCACTGCATTTATTTATTTATTTCAGGTTTATTTAACAGGAAAAATGCACACTAATAATACATAAATAAATGTATAATGTGCCAGAATTAGCGAAAAGGCTGCTGTCCCTGCACAGATCGTAATATGTCACGCCTAAAAAGATAAAAGGATTAAAACAGTACATACAAGTTAAGCCCAATACAAGTAAAAATTTACTGTAAATGTATAAAAAAAAATTTACTTGACCAACATAAAAACAAGAACAGTTGGTCAATATCAACACCAGCACACACGTACACACACAAGCCAGACTGTCAGTCCATATAACAAACATTGTATATTAGCAAAGGCATACATTTTTGGACATGCACAAAAAAACTATATAACTGGGACACCAACAGAGGTTTAACCTTGTGTTTAATCTAAACACATATGAGCCAGACAACCTCGTAGGCATAGCACAAGAAGCACAAAAAGGCAGGACAGAAAAGACGAGATAGAAGCAAGATTTAGTGTCTAAATGTAATATTGACAGTCCTGACTACCCGTTAGCCACTTCTTTAAGTTAAATTTAAAGCGTAAGTTTTAAAATGTAATGTGCGTTTATTTAATGCACATTACATTAGAAGCTCCTCTGCACACTGTGCTGTGAGTCATAAGTCTTAAGGACTGAAGACTGGTGTACTTTTAACAAATATCCACCACATACAGAATGGGATTAAAGACTGTATACATTGTGTTAATTCAGTCAAAGTTGTTTAATGACTGCAAAGACTTTGAAATGTTGCATGTGTTTGCCAGCAGTATTATCCTTTAAGTAACAAGCCTGTGAGAATGCATAATCCCCTGAAGAAATCAATGAGGGCATTGTTGGTGCTTTGTCTGGGCTATTAAACCCTGACCTCTGTATGTCTCTGCCTTGTACAGTTGGCTTCAGCAACATACAGTAATCTCTTTTTATTTTATTTTATTTTTTAAAGAAACCGGTCTGGTTTCATTCTCTCGCAACATGAGAAGAACAGTTTGTGAAATGGATTCATATTTGTGTATTTACTTAAGTATCATATGAAGTTAGTTTACACCTGATTTGGAAGGTGTAAAATGAACCTTTTTCAGGTCCATTCTTTATTACTGATATGTGAAAACCAATAACTTCCAAATGTATTTTACTTTTGTTAAGTCTTTCTGGGAATTTTATGTCTTTAACTATTGTCAGTAGTAAAGAGATTACAGGAAATGGGTTTGGGAGAGCAATGTCCTTCCATGATTTTCATCTTGGTTCAGCTGGTATGTGATTAGATTTATTAAAATCCAGATGCTTTCTTTAAACTTCTTGCCAAGTTCTCTGGTTAGTATGTACCAGTTTCACACCTGCCAAAGCCGCTGCAGCAGAATAGTGGGCTGTATGTTTTGTTTCTGTTCCTTAATTTTCACTTTCAGAATTTTGGTCTGCAAAGTTTTTTTAATGTTTAGTGTTGTTTACAAGTATACTACTATAATAATACTACAATTTTCTAGAATCCAGTGAACAGGCTTGCTGCTTGACATTTATTTAAAAACAGTCATCAGAACCGGTTACAACAACAGCTCTCATGAATCTGACAAATTTTCCAGCTTACATAAATAAGCAAGTAAACTTGTCAGTGTTATGGCTTATGTAGAGTGACTTTCTTTTGTTATTGTTAGTGGGATGCACACTTCAACTGATGCAATATTTAAAGCTTATATTAAAGTGTTACATTTTTGTACTTTTTTCTTTTCATTTGCAGAAAGAGCTGAGTCTTCCCAGAAGAGGCAGTTTGTAAGTACCCAGCTACATGTTAACAGGGTGGTTAACAGAAATACCATGTGATAAACCTTAACTTCCAGTTGTCACGCTACTTATTACATTTTTGGTACAGATTCTCAAATGAGCTAAAATGATATTTGTATGAATGTTTGTTTGAGTAAAGTTAACATTTCTACTCCAATTAGCTGCGAAGATTGTCTGACAACGTATGAATTGTTAGTTATATTTAGCCTACTTAGTCTAACCTGCATTATAAACACATTTAACAGTGCTTCTGTAAAATAGTCACATAACTAACATGGATGGCAATTACGTGACCTGTAAAGGTAGTTGTTCTTCTTTAGAGTCAGCAAACAAGCTGTAAACTGATAGAAATTAGCTTCAATAAGCAAAATATAATTTAGTTCGAGTTCCTATGCAATTCTCTAATGGCAGTTGCATACTATATTTTATGTTTCAGTTTAAAAATGGATGTAATATTTATTTATTTGTCCAGGAAAGTGATTATAATGGAAAATAGCACAACAAAGAATAAATACAGTGAGCAAGAACAAGCACACAAATGATTAATCACAACCTCTTCACTGGCCAGCAAACAGTCCTCTCAGGTAAAAACTTCTTCTGTTGCCTTTAACCAAATTGAACATCCCTCTGTCAATTGTGTATTCTGTAATCTCAACATGGGAGTTACTTTTTCCTTTAATTGTTGATCACCAGCTGTCATGTGTTGGAATTCCTTTTCGAGCTAGTTCGTTCGTTATGGCTTTTTTGGGAGCTGCCAGCAGTACATGCAATAAATATGTCTTTATAATTAAAGCCTCACACCGTCAAACAATCAAACACTTATAATACTTGCGGGGTTCGGTGGATTTCTTAAGGAAAGCCAGTGAGCTTGTGTGCTTGCATTGCTTTTTTGGCTTTCTCCATCTTATCTAGACCACGGCACGCACGTTGCATAAAACAGCCAAAGATGTAATGTATGCAGCTAGCTATCATGCTGGTAACTGGCAAGCTATTACCAATTATTTCATGTGTATATACAACAGGAATAATTGATATAACGCTTTGCCCTATATGGTCTGGTGATATATAAAGTATACCTTTCACAACGACTACATGTAATTTCTGTATTTAATGTCCATAGCATACCGTTATCTAAAGTACTTTCTCTATGCGTTACTTTGACAATGAAATACAGTGAGGAAAATAAGTATTTGAACACCCTGCTATTTTGCAAGTTCTCCCACTTAGAAATCATGGAGGGGTCTGAAATTGTCATCGTAGGTGCATGTCCACTGTGAGAGACATAATCTAAAAAAAAAAATCCAGAAATCACTATGTATGATTTTTTTTAACTATTTATTTGTATGATACAGCTGCAAATAAGTATTTGAACACCTGAGAAAATCAATGTTAATATTTGGTACAGTAGCCTTTGTTTGCAATTACAGAGGTCAAACGTTTCCTGTAGTTTTTCACCAGGTTTGCACACACTGCAGGAGGGATTTTGGCCCACTCCTCCACACATATCTTCTCTAGATCAGTCAGGTTTCTGGGCTGTCGCTGAGAAACACGGAGTTTGAGCTCCCTCCAAAGATTCTCTATTGGGTTTAGGTCTGGAGACTGGCTAGGCCACGCCAGAACCTTGATATGCTTCTTACAGAGCCACTCCTTGGTTATCCTGGCTGTGTGCGTCGGGTCATTGTCATGTTGGAAGACCCAGCCTTGACCCATCTTCAATGCTCTAACTGAGGGAAGGAGGTTGTTCCCCAAAATCTCGCAATACATGGCCCCGGTCATCCTCTCCTTAATACAGTGCAGTCACCCTGTCCCATGTGCAGAAAAACACCCCCAAAGCATGACGCTACCACCCCCATGCTTCACAGTAGGGATGGTGTTCTTGGGATGGTACTCATCATTCTTCTTCCTCCAAACACGGTTAGTGGAATTATGACCAAAAAGTTCTATTTTGGTCTCATCTGACCACATGACTTTCTCCCATGACTCCTCTGGATCATCCAAATGGTCATTGATGGTCAATGGTCCCAGCTCTTTTCAGGTCATTGTCCAGCTCCTCCCGTGTAGTTCTGGGCTGATTTCTCACCTTTCTTAGGATCATTGAGACCCCACGAGGTGAGATCTTGCGTGGAGCCCCAGTCCGAGGGAGCTTGACAGTCATGTTTAGCTTCTTCCATTTTCTAATGATTGCTCCAAAAGTGGACCTTTTTTCACCAAGCTGCTTGGCAATTTCCCCGTAGCCCTTTCCAGCCTTGTGGAGTTGTACAATTTTGTCTCTAGTGTCTTTGGACAGCTCTTTGGTCTTGGCCATGTTAGTAGTTGGATTCTTACTGAATGTATTGGGTGGACAGGTGTCTTTATGCAGCTAACGACCTCAAACAGGTGCATCTAATTTAGGATAATAACTGGAGTGGAGGTGGACATTTTGAAGGCAGACTAACAGGTCTTTGAGAGTCAGAATTCTAGCTGATAGACAGGTGTTCAAATACTTATTTGCAGCTGTATCATACAAATAAGTAGTTAAAAAATCATACATTGTGATTTCTGGATTTCTTTTTTTAGATTATGTCTCTCACAGTGGACATGCACCTACGATGACAATTTCAGACCCCTCCATGATTTCTAAGTGGGAGAACTTGCAAAATAGCAGGGTGTTCAAATACTTATTTTCCTCACTGTATGTTTAACCTTCTTCTATAGCTACTCACCATCACTTTCCCAGATACTGTTTTTGATTCAGTTGCCTTTGTAATCTTTATTTTGTTGGTCAATTGGGCACTGTGCAATGAGACCAAACGGATAAATTGATCCAAAAAAACCCTGCAGGGTGCAAAACGAATAGAGGTAGATTGGCTTGAGTTTTTAAATTAGTGTGCAATTTACTATTACTTGATAAATATGATCTACTTTTTCTACACTTGGATTTGATTGTTTCTGTCAAACTGGATGAAGTATTACTTTTATTGCAGCATCAGTTTTAAAGCAGTCATTAAAAAAAGTAAAAACCTACAATGAATTAAACTTTCCTTGGGCGGGTTGGTCAGATTTCTGTTCAGGTCTGTTCAAGTTATTAAAAAGGTTTCTTGGCCAGTGATGTGCCAGATGAAATGCAGCTTTTAAGCCAGGCATTGATTTTGGTTTAGTTTGATATATTTTATGGTGGAAGAGAAAGATTTACCCATGACCTCTTGTGCTCTCGCTGATACCTCACCAGAGGGGGCACCTACTGTAATAGAGGTGGGCCATTACTAAAAGGCTGCAGTGAGATCACCAACCACACGGGTTTATATTTAGAGTGCTGGAGCCACTAGGGACCTTGGTAACCATAGTAATGGTGTTTGGATATGACAAAGTTAATAAAACTGCTTCCCAGTCATCAAAACTGCAGTTTATTTAAAAAAGATGTTTATACTAATTTGTCACCTTTTTAAATGAGAAAATTCAGGATCAAGTAAGACATTAGTCCCATATTCTGTAAGATAGATATGTTTACTCTCTTGAATGGTATTACAGCTGTAATCTCTGACTGCTGTGTCTCTCATGTGCTTAATTTCAAAGTGTTAGACAGGATGACGGGGTAAAATGTTAATGTGATAGAAGCAGGAGCTGAGTTGGAATAATCTGAACTTGTAGGAGGACGATGATAAAGATGCTGGACACTAGAGAAAAGTGCATGGAGAAGGAACTGTAGCGCTTTATCCACAGGTTTTTCTGTGACAGAGAGCCATCTACTGAACATTTGATGTCATTAACATGCTGGTGTCATGCCAACATGCCAGTTAATTACCAAGGTTAACATTTTCCACAACGTCATTACATATTGTGGGAGCGTTTTATTATTGTAATTCCTTTTCCACAACCACAAGAGTGATGGATTGTACCTTTTTAGTCTGTGTCATGTGTGGAGTTGTTTACAGTCATTCTAGGTGAACGATTACTGAACCTATTTATAGTCTGACCTTAATAACTGGAAGTCTTTTGCTGGGTCCAATTCCATAACTTAAAATCAATCATTTGTATGTGTTGGCGCCTCAAGGCACACTCATTGGATTTTTTAGACCATTATGTTAGATCATTTTCCCATTTCTCACCATCAGCACAAAAACACAACGTGTTGCAGGTTCTGAAGGATCAAAGCTGCCCAACTACATCACCTGCTTTGCAATGCAACACGATACCAAAGAAGAATTGTTTACTGTAGATTTTGTTACAGAGGACCAACTCACCCAACATGCTCTCTCTCTTCTTGTCTCTCTAATAAGAAAAGAAAATAATTTTCCATGTTATACTTTGCCCTTGCAATCGCCTCCTTAATCTATTGTGGCTTGAATTGTACCTAATTTGTACATAGTTTTGAACAAAAGCATCTGCCGGGCCATTAAAATTTCATCATAATCTTTTTTTTTTTTCTTTTTTTTTAAGTAGCGATGCCAATGTTGAATTCATTAAATAGAACGTCGCTGTGAAACTGATCTTGGCTTACTCAGTAGGCTACCAGCTGGTATTCATGAACAAAAATATAATGGAGAATGATAGAATGGAATGGAGAATAGGGAGAGAGTAAATAAGGGTGGATTAAAAAAAAAAAAAAAGTCCTGTTTGGCCTCGTGACACACAGGTCTCCCTCTATATGTTATTTATTATGGGAGTAAATGTTTCATGAACTTCAGTAAAGATTTTCAGTACTCTACCCTCCGCTGGTGTAGAGGTGAAATTAGCCAGTAAAGAGCCTGAGATTTCCCTCAGGAGTTGGAAGAAACCAAAACAGAACTAAAAGGACTAATATTGAACTTAGATTTGTCAGATAAACGCAAGCATGACTTCAAATGAATGATGATGTTGCTCTGTATCTGCTGGATGGAATAATAGACATCTGTTGGCGAAGTGTTGTGTTGTGTTTACAGATTGTTTGTTTCACTATCCCCAAATGACCAAAAGTCTCTTAATGCAGGTTTAATGAAAGCACTAAGATGTTGTGTTTCAATAATTCTTAT